CCAAAAATGCTTAAAAACATGTTTTTAGGCCATTTTAAGACTTTTTCAAAATGAAAGTTGAGTGGAAGATTTTCAGTGCAAAATACATTACAAATCTTCCACTCATCTTCCACTTTTTTAAATCTACTAAAACCTTCCATAATTTTATAAAATGCGTCGTCCCGTTTGTCTCGCGTTATTTTTTATTTCAAAAACATAAAAATTAGATTTACGGATTAGCTAGACACTTTTTGAACTCTAACATATGGCTTTACTTAGCCTTTGCAAATAGCCAAAAAAATACGAAACCTTACTAAAAACACTACATAATGTTACACTTTAGAGTTTCAGATGGTCGTATCGACCCTTTAAGTCATTTTCAGAAAGATTTGGGCGTTGTCAAGAAGTTATCGCTGTTTTGGAAAAGTGGAAGTTGAGTGGAAGATTTGTAATGTACTTTGCACTGAAAATCTTCCACGTAACTTCCACTTTTAAAAAGAGTTTAAAACGTGTTTTTAGGTCATTTTAAAGCTTTTTGAAAATGGAAGTTGAGTGGAAGATTTTTAGTGTAAAATACATTACAAATCTTCCACCATACTTCCACTTTCCAAAAAGTCCAAAGTTATCTTTAAACTGTGCTGTTTGGGGCTCTGTAAAGAAAGTTCTTCCCATTCATTGCTTTGTAAACAAAGTTTCTGCAACTTTTCCCGGAAACCCCGAAAAATACTGTGTGTTTACACTATTGAACCCTTGGTACCATAACAGTTTATTTGCTCTCGTTGTAATTATAAATGCCACAACTAACCATCGTATTTACTGAGAACCAAAATTTGTAATTAGAATGCTGCAGTATTATTACTTTGTGTGTAAGAGATGACACGTATGGGATTGAAAGGTCATTTACCAAGGGTAAACAGGCCTTTAATTTGTTTCTTTCATTAGTTTTTGGTTGAAAATATAAAAAAAATTTTAAAGGTAGCTTTTAGATTAAAAAATGCCCAGAAATTTTATTCAAAACCAAAAAATGTCTATAACTTTCTTTGAAAACCCCAAAAATGACCAGTTTTAGAAAGTGGAAGTTGAGTGGAAGATTTTTAATGTATTTTGCACTGAAAATCTTCCACTCAACTTCCATTTTCAAAATGTCCTAAAATAGCTTAAAAACACGTTTTTAACACTTTTTCGACTTGGAAGTTTGGTGGAAAATGTGTAATGTATTTTTCACTGAAAATCTTCCACTGAACTTCCACTTCCCAAAAGTGTCAAAAAGTCATTTTAAGGTCATTTAGAGACTTTTTAAAAATGGAAGTTTGGTGGAAGATTTGTAATGTATTTTGCACTGAAAAACTTCCACCCAACCTCCACCTTGATTTTTAGCTAAAAGTAGAGAAAAAGTGCTTTTTCGTTTTTTTTAGGCTTAAAATTGTCATTCTTACCTTAAAGATTTTTTCGATTCGAAAATCTAAAAAACTTTATTGTTGTGCGATTGTTTTTACCGGAATCGCATGTTCGTTTGGCCAAAACGAGGTTTAAAATGGCCTGCGGGCGTGTGTCACATTCACGCCATTCAATTTCCGCGCAATATCCCCCAAAATGCAAACATATCTGCAGTATTTTCCGAAAACTGTCTGCTTATGAACAACATGATAGTTATTAATTAGTGCTATAACGGCGGAGTAGCATAAACAGCCCTACCAAGGACTTTGCTACAGATTTTTCGTGGGGAAGGTGGGGGAGGGGAGTGTGGATATTTATCCCCCTTGACCCCTTTCTCTCCCTAGCAAAGTTTCTAAACCTAATGATTTTTATTATATTGTAGTAGGTACAATGCTTAACGGTTTATGGCCTCTTTTTGCGAAATTTTACAAGCTTATCTCAACAAAGAGTTTCCAACCTTCCGAGACCCATATTGTCCGAATTATACAAAACAAAATTCAAAATTTGGCCAACTATTACACTTTTAAGGTTTTAAAAATGTGGAAGATTTGTAATGTATTTTGCACTGAAAATCTTCCACTGAACTTTCATTTTAAAAATTGTCAAAAATTTATTTTTAAGTTATTTTGAGGATTTTTTAAATGAAAGTTTGGTGGAAGATTTTCAATGCAAAATACATTACAAATCTTCCACTCAACTTCCACTCTCAAAAAATCAGCGTTTTTGGGGGTTTGATTGCATTTTTTTTTATTTTTGAAAAACGTTTTTACAGTTTTTTATCCTTATAAACAAAGTTTTTTATGGTTTTCAATTTAAAAACTAAAAAATTCAAAAATAATTTATTTTCGACCAGATTAAACTTACTTTACCCTCGACAAGTTTACTGTAAATTCTTCTTTTCATATAGCAAATTTTTTTTCATTTACATTTCCGCATTATCTATTGCACTTTTCATGTAAAATTTATTTTTACATAGTAAAAAGTGCTTGTTTACCATACGTAATTGACTTTTTTTATGTTTGTTTGTGTTTTTTTTTCATTGTTCACATTAATTTTAAAGCATTTTTTTACAAATTTTGACAATTTTGAAAGGTTTAGAAAGTGAAAATCGAATGGAAGATTTTTAATGTATTTTACACTAAAAATCTTCCACCAAAATTCCGCTCCTTAAAAGTGTCAAAAAATCATTTTTAGGCCATTTTAAAAATGGAAGTTGAGTGGTAGATTTTCAGTGCAAAATACATTAAAGATCTTCCACTCAAATTCCACTTTATAAAACGACCATTTTTTCTGTTTTACGGAAGTTTTTGCCATTTTTTGAATTTGTAAAGAAAATTTTTGCCATTTTATGCTTTGTTTACCAATTTCTCGCCATTTTACGTATTGTAAAGAAAGTTTTTGTCATTTTCTCCCAAAAACAAACTATCGAACATTTTTTTGCTTGACGTTTCCCAAAATTGCCTAAAGGGATTCTGTTAAAATTTATGAGTTAGAACAAATAATTCACGCTAATCTAAGAGAAACGAAAGAAACGTTCCAAATAAACTTATGCCATTGGACTTTTACTTTTGCTTTAATCTTAGTATTTGCGAGAGATTACTGTAACATTAAAAAATAATATTTTTATTACTAAAATTGTTTGAAATGATTTTTTAAGCTTATGAAACCTTAAATATCGATTTAGAGAGCCCAAACGCCAATTTTAAAAACTGGAAGTTGGCTGGAAGATTTGTAATGTATTTTGCACTGAAAAGCTTCCATTCAACTTCCACTCGCAAAAAGTGTCAAAAATGGCCTAAAAACTGATTTTTGAGCATTTTTGGGAGTGGAACTTCAATGGAAGAATTTTAATGTAATTTTCACTGAAAATCTTCCACTTAACTTTCAATTTCAAAAAGCGTTAAAAACTTGTTTTTAAGTCATTTTAAGACTTTTTGTAAGTGGAAGTTGAGTGAAAGATTTTAAGCGTATTTTCCACTGAAAATCTTCCACTCAAATTCAACTTTTTGCTTGCCCCAAAAAACAGCGAAAATTGTTCCAATTTGTGAAAATTTGTCATTCACACCACTTTAATTCGTAATAAAAGCCTTTACGATACAATTTCAAGTGTGAAACCGTCGAAAAAGGGCAATGTCATCCCAATTCCTGGAATTTTTTTTATTTTAGTAAGGCATTTTAACGAAGCGGAAAAAGGTTAAAAACAGCCAAATTTGAAAAAGTAACAGAGAACGGTTAGGTGATTTGTTACCTATTGTTTCGAATGAGCTTTTAGTTTTTAAAGGTGATGAGGAAGTTTTTTTAAAAGTTTTTGTGATTTCTTTGGTTTGTAAAGAAAGTTCTTGCCATTTTTCGTTTTGTAAAGAAAGTTCTTGCTGTTTTTCGTTTTGTAAAGAAAGTTCTTGCCATTTTTTGATTTGTAAAGAAAGTTCTTGCCATTTTTTGTCTTGTAAAAAAAGTTCTTACCATTTTTTGTTTATAAACACGATTTTTTAACATTTTGTCGCCCAAGCCCGATTTTTACCCATTTTAGAAACTTTTTCGATAGTTATCACGCATTTAAACAAGTGGAAGATCAATGGAAGATTTTTAGTGCAAAATACACTAAAATTCTTCCACCCAACTTCCACTCCCAAAAATGCTCCAAAACGTGTTTTTAGGCCATTTTGAGCATTTTTAGAAGTGAAAGTTGAGTGGAAGATTCTCAGTGCAAAATACACTGAAAATTTTCCACTAAACTTCCACGTCTAAAAAATGTCAAAAAGGTGTTTTTAGTCCATTTCAAGACATTTTAAAAATGGAAGTTGAGTGGAAGATTTCTAGTGCAAATTACATTACAAATCTTCCACTTTCAAAATTTTTTGTTTTTCGATAGATCATCGTCTATAAATTCACGGCCATTGTATAAAATTTCAAAATTTGTCATTTTTGATCCGAAAACAGGCAATCTGTCGCACTTTCCCCTCCAAAATCCACAATTTGTCTGTGAAATCAGGTAATTTGGCGCGCAGACCGGCCAATTATTGCCACAAAACAACACCAAAACTCATAATTTGTGCTTCAATTAACACGTCTAACAAATTAAACATCTTCCGACCATCTTTGCGGGCTTGTTTTTTCGTTTTGTTTTTCGACATATCCGATATGTCAGTGTGTAGTAGGTACGTGTAAGTGGTGCGGTGACAACATATCCGTCTGTGTTTATGTGGTATTAGAAATTGGGCAGTGGTGTTTTTATTTTTGTATTCGGTATTTATTGTTTTTAAGACATCATCTTCGTTTTATTTTTGATATTTGGCACGGAGACATGTTATACGATGAAACATGTCCGAGTATGTTTCATCGTATAAAATGTCTCTTTGTAAAAAACGGTTACAATGATATATCCAATTTTAAAAGGTATTCACATTTGTTACAACAAAACCAACCAGTCAATAAATTTTCTATCCCAAACTTTATATCAAGAGGCGAAAAGTCACAAAAAATCAATAACTAGTCATAATTACTAAAATAACACACAATCGATAGTCAATAGAGCGGTTACTGTAGGGAATACTGTACAACACATTAGTGGTAAACGTTTGTGATCATAAGAAATAGTCCGATTGAGGTTTTTTGGCTGGAGCGCCACGGTGTTCTTGGGGGGCGGCTTCGAAAATCGTGAATTCCTTGTTCAGTTTGTCGTCAAATTCCAGAATCGCTGCTACGTTGCCGCATCTGAAAATGATTTAAAAGTAGTTTTAGCATAAAAATGGCAAAATCTTTATCTTTTGACCAAGTTTTGGTAGTTTTGAAAAGTGGAACTTCAGTGGAAGATTTGTAATGTATTTTACACTGAAAATATTCCACTCAACTTCCATTTTTAAAATTGTATAAAACGGCCTAAAAACAAGTTTTTGAACATTTTTGGGAGTGGAAGTTTGGTAAAGATTTTCAGTGCAAATTACATTACAAATCTTCCACCAACTTTCCACTTTAATTTTTAATGCATTAACCGTACAATTCCTAGAAGCCATCACTTGTACTTTTGTAATTGTGCTAACACCACCTCAAAATATCAAAAAAAGTGTACTTTTAACCATTCGTCTACTTTTACAACACTATATCAGCTTATATTCGGCTGATTTTACACTTGTTCCCAACCAGTCTCTTGTTGGTCGTTAACGATTGTAAGCCCTATGCATTAGCATTGTAACATCTTCTCTATACATTTCTTCTGATTTAACGTAAATTTTGAACAAAACGTCATTTTTGATCGAGTTTTACATTATCCTAGCATCTGGTGCCTACCTCAATATAAAGCCAAAATAATCTATATTACCGCCAATTTTTTACTGTAATAGCATCTGCACTATCTTAACACAACTTTATTAATCTTATTAATCTTGTCCTTTTAATAAATTTAGCGTTTTCTCACGTATAAAAAGCTGATATTATCCATGACCACCTATGCTAAGTGGCCTTTTTTCATTTGGCCATAACTTTTAAAATAGCCTATAAATTACAGTATAATGGATCGTATCTAGTGTAAAAAAGTCTTCTCTTTCGTTTTTACCTAATTTTGTAAGCTGTAACTTGATCCACATTCATAAAAATCAAATATTTTTACCACTACCATGTCTACGATAAAATAAACCAGACCAACAGAGGCCCCAAATCTCAACCCAAACACAAATCGCTTACCTATAACAATAGTTGGGTGCGGACCAAACCGTTAGTACAGTCTCATTAAAGTGCCATTTGTAGCCTTCCATGACGAGTTGATGTGCTCGGCAAATCAGTTCCATTTTGTTGCTTTCGCAAAAGCTGTGTACCACATCCGGGCCGAATAGGAAGCCGGCTCCTCTCGGGCTCATTCCGAAACCATTCGCGTCCTCGGGGTCCGACCAAAGCAGATCACACATGGGGCCATCGTGTGGTACCTCTTGTTTTCTGTCGATTACTCGAATGTCGTCGATTGTTGAGATTGATGGTGATAGACCGCCGTGTACGCAGAACACGCGGTTGTCAATGATTGCGGCTAGTGCTAAGCAATCGAAAACTTCGGTGCAGCAACGCCACACTGTTGGTGAGCCGTACTTTCGCATGCATTCGTCGTAGAAGCCATATACCTGAAAATATAGGCAATTTAAAATCTTCGTGCTTAAAAAATAGTACTAGTCAAAAAAGTCTGTGAAAGCTGTAAATTATAAGTTGCATAAAAAAGATAGATTTACTATCATGTAAAGGTTTTTAATGATGAATATTTTAGCAAATAGTAAAGCTCAATACCACGATTTGAGATGGAAGAGTTTAAAAAGAGCATAAATGTTTACTTTAAAGGAAGCAAAGAAGTAAATATTGACTAAAAACTATATTACAGTCAGCTCATGTATCTTGTTTTATGTAAAAACCATTTTTTACCAAAAATTAAGGGTAAAGTGCGTAAAAATAAGCTTACATTGCTTTATGTATAACATGTAATAAAACTGTTGTTTCATAAACAAAATATAAGTCAATTACTGTCACAATATGGCCTGCTAGATAACTCTTGTATCTTTCACTTTACACTACCTGTACCTAAATGAACATCCAATACTATTAAATGAAGGTGCAACATAACTAAATCAACATTCAAATTGTCTAAAACAATATCAAGACAATATGAATGAACCCACAACAATTGCAGAATGTGTTATTCAACTCGAAAATAAATGAGACATTGTGCTGTTATTGTTAACTGATATACCTTTTGTTCACTTTAGCATATATAACGATAGCTTTTTACACAGTAAACGTTGGGTTTTATAATAGCTCAAAAAATCACCTTTTTAATCTCTTTCTATTCACCCAAAAATTAGTTTTTTTTATAAAATGCACGTAGGCTCAAAAATTCATAAGCCCAAAAATCAATAAAAACATAAAAATCAATCAAAAAATTAGTTTTTGATGCCTTACTTAACCTCATAACAAAATAAAAACAGTCCATATCCGTCCATACTTTAATTACATCTTGCCAACATATTCGAGTTCAAAAGACTGGACCTTATCTGATGTCCGCCATCTGTAAAACAACATTCTTCTCCTTCATACCGGAGGGATGAAAAATGTTGTTTTCTTGGCTCGAATATGTTTCAAGATGTAGGGTTAAAATATGGATAAATATGTCGTGTTTTTCAGCGTTATATGAGTAAATAATGTAATAAAAGTTAATTTTTTGATTGATTTTCACGTTTTTCGTGCTTTCTCGTGCTTATAAAGTGATGATTTTAAGGGAAATCGTCAGATATGACTTATGATGTCTAAAATATGATCACATCAAATTTAGATTTCACTTCTGCGACATTATGTTTTGGATTTCAGAAGTGACCATATTTTAAATGTCATTAGTACGCATAGTAAAAGAAAATGGTTTCTGAGATAGCATAGGGGTTAGGGTCTACTATAACATGTCTTTCTGGCCAAAAAATCGTGTTTTCCTTCTTAATATCTGTGTCTTAAGGTATAGTTTAGTATTCAAAAAGTAAAAATTTAACGTTATTCAAAAAAAATTTAACTTGGTCCCTCTGTGGAACAATATTTTTTAAAAATTCCAAAAATTTCAATTTTATCAATTTCAAAAGCTCCAAAATGCCATTTTTATCAACTTCGCTGTTTCCATTTTCCGTTTTTAAACTGCAAATTAACCCGCCATCCGGCTGCAAACAGTATTTTAGAGGGGTTTCAAATTTTTATTTGCCGTTCCTTTGCGAATTCCGGGGTTAATCGACAAGGGCCGAGGCCCATAAAATCCGTGAAGGCAATAAAAGGTTATCAGTTAACAATAACAGCACAATGTCTCATTCATTTCGGGGTTGAATAACACATTCCGCGTTGTTGTGGGCTCGTTCATATCGTCTTGATATTGTTTTAGACATTTTGAATGTTCATTTAGTCACGTTGGACCTTCATATAGTAATATTGGATGTTCATTTAGTTATACGTAATTTTATACAGAAGTTATCTTGCATTTTATACAAGTGACAGTAATTATCTTACATTTTGTTTATGCAACAACAGTTTTATTACATGTTATGCATAAAGCAATGTAAACTCATTTTTACCTATTTTACCATTAGTATACAGTAAAAAATGGTTTTTATATGAAACACGGTACATGGAAAGACTATAACATAGTTTATAGTCAACATATACCTTTTTGTTTATTTCAAAGTAGACATTTATGCCCGTTTGAGTACACTATGAATCTGTCGATTCATATTTAGTACATTTTGAACTCTTCCATCCCAAATCCTTGTACCAAACCTTAGTATTTGCTAACATATTCATCTTTAAAAACCTTTACAACCTAGTAGCTCAATCTTTTCTACACCACCCACATACTACAGTATTTACAACCCAGTAAACAGGTTTTTACTGTATCATCATAAACTATGCTTGTCATAATCGCTAATTTGGCATTATATATTTATACTTCATTACCTATTTATATCGAATTGAGAAATTGAGTTTGGGCAAGACCTCCTTCAAATACGTATATCCTCACAAATTAAAATGACCTTTTTAATCCTAAATTTTTGTATTTCATATTTATATTTGGACCAAAAAGACCATAATATATACTTTACCGTGTTTAACACAGCTAATTTTAGGCTTAAAATCGTCTTTTTCGCTCACAAATCTTAACTTTGTTGGCCATTTTTTAAATTTTTTTCAATTTTAGAAACATTTTTCAATTTTCTGGCCATTTTTTAACGCATTTCGTATTTCCCAGCCCTTTTTAAGCCCAAAAACCACTTATTCATACCAAATTTTCAAAATTTTCATCTTTCAAAACCCAGGTTTTTAATCTTAAACCTATTATCGCTCATTTCCAAACCCAAATTTCCGTGTTCAAGTACCCACAAAATATAATAGCAGTATAACAACACCATTTTTATTTGAAATTATACGTATGGCAAACTGTAAACATGCGTGAATCACTGTATTTTGGGTAAATATTACGGATTTTCGCACCTAAACACAGCAAAAACCTTTGTTTACAGTCTTGGAAATACAACCAATCGTTTGATTACACTGTCTACAAGCTTAGTGTTGGGTATTTTGAAAGGTATTTGGGGTCAAATGAGCAAAATTTTAAATTTTTTGAAAATTTAAAATTTTTTCAAAAAAATTTTTTTTTTCGAAAAAAAATTCGCACTTTGTTTTTGGGGTCATTGTTAATCAAATTAGACGTTTTTCCAAAATTTTAATTTTTTACAAAAAAAATTTTTTCAATATCCAAAAATTCCTCAAAATATCAGATTTACCCTACCTGTGTAATCTGTCTACTCTCATGATTCCCTCTGATTAACGTCATCCGATCCGGGTATCTGACTTTGATGGCCAAGAGTAGTAAGAATGTTTCCACCGAGTAGAAGCCTCTATCCACAAAGTCGCCCATGAACAGGTAGTTGGTTTCGGGCACGTTGCCTCCCACTCTGAATAGTTCCATCAGGTCAAAGAATTGACCGTGAATGTCGCCGCATATTGTTACGGGTGGGTCAATGTACTGGACGTTCCCTTCTTGTATTAGGATTTCGCGGGCTTTAGCACATAATACTTTTACCTAAAATGACGTTATTGATAAGTTGTTCGGTTAACATGTCTATATTAATCATATTTTGAGGTATAAAACTAAAAACATGGAAATTTTTAGCGAAAAAGTAAGAAAAACTAAAATTTCAGTTCAATACTTACTATAATATCGCCATTTTTTAAATAAAAATCTATTTTTGAAACTTCTCCTTACCTCATTCTCTGTTGGTATCTGGCACTTCATTAAGGTCTCAATTTGCCGATCCAGGTCGTTGATAGTTAGTTTCGTATCAGCTGGAATTTTGATCGCGCTCTCTTCTTCCGATGTCATATTGTTAAGTGCGATATGAAGATGTTTCTAAGACGATTCAATTACCTAAAAATTCAGAATATTAACTTTTTATTAATTTTTAATTTTTTGAAATTAAATTTTTTAATTTAAAAATTTTTTAATTTTTTTTCATTTTTTTAAGTTTTTTAACAAAAATTTTATATTACCTACACTTTTACAATTTTTATTACCCTTTACATCAAGTTGAACTAAAAGAACGTATGACGACCACAAATATTCTGTAGAACATTAAAGAGAAAAGCCGATATTGTAAACTAAAAACGTAAATCAAACGACGAAAACAAGTTGTAATTGTTTCAAAACGTACTTATATGTCATAATAGTCTTAAATCTAGCCATAGATCATCATGTAAACCTATATCTGGCCATAGATAATTATTATACCTATATCTAGCCATAGGTCATCATATATATCTATATTAAGCCATAGAACAGTCATTATATGTACTTATATCCGGCTACAGATCATCATATGTACCTATATTTATCTATAGATCATCATATACACCTGTATCTAGCCATAGTTCAACAGGTATACCTATATCTTCGCGATTTCTATCAACGAGTTTGATAAGTCTTCAAGTCCAAGCCTAGTATAACATAATGTTTAACCTATTAATATCTAATCTGTCTACTACTATCCGTTGACAGTGTTAATACCATTTTACTACCTTGCTTCCAAATACTATTAACTAGTGTCCATTTCCAGTACAGTTTATCCTGCTATGACATTAAAACGTACAATTACATCAGCTTAAAGTACATGCTTTTTAAACTACTTGGAAAGTAAATCCGACTTTATGCGTACATTTTCAGTTCGTAGATGGTACGAAGACGAGAAACTCAGTTTAGCAATGTTTTAGAGTTTACTACAGACAATTTTTTTTAAAATTTTTAACCTCCAGACAACCCTTGAACAAGATAAAAATTCTTTCTTCCTCATACCCACCACAAACTGAATAATAACAACTATTTTCGGACTCCAAGTACTCAAAAAACTTGTACTTTTAGCTTTAATTGTGAGTATTACTGCCATAAGTAGACAAAATATAATGAAAACTGACCGATAATACTAGGTAATCGGATTTGGAGATCCACAAGTTTCAAAAAAATAGCTACTCAGCCACTAGGTATTAACTGCATTCTCATAGTTATGTTACACAAGGCTTGGGGTTTGAAACATGAACATGCTCAGTATATCTATCGAAATCATAAGATATATGTAGTATGTATATCTAAATGAATCAGGAAATATCAGTGAGTATACCTATAGAAATCATAAGATATCAGCGTGCACATCTACAGAAATCACAAGATATAGGTGTATCTGATGGTTTACAAGTACATTTAGATAGTTTTATGACATTTTCGTACGCGTTTAACAATTATTTACAACGTACCCTCGCCGTTTGTTTTACGCTTTTACTTTACAATATCGTCTTTTCTTTGTATCGTTCTCCTGAAGACTTGTGTTCCTCGTACATTTTTTCGTTTTTACAGTGTAAAAATTTACCCTACATTATTTAATGTTTGGTTTTCTAATATTGTTTTCAGATTCTTTTGTCTTATCAAAATCTTTTCTATTCAGCGTTTTATAATGACAATTAATCTCATTTATAATGACAATTAATGTAATTTATAATGAAAATTAATATCATTATCACTGTTTCAAGTTACAGACAATTTTTTTTTTCATTTTTTTCACTCTTTTTCAATTACCACTCAATTCAAAAATTGCGCGACATTTGAACTGTGACGTTATCTATGAATCATGAACAATATCACTATATCTTGGAAGTGAATTAATCCGGATTACTCTGGCAATTATCTTGACACTGTCAGTTCTTTGAAGTTATTGTTTTAGTTTACTTTACTTTAGCGTTACATTTTAATTTACAACTGCAGTAAAAAAACTCCCAGTATTAGTACGTTTTTAATTACTACGTTCAAAAGGGGTTTTGTCAATTTTTATAAAATTATGATAGATTTGCAAATTTTTAAGACCTTATATGTTAAGTGATTGTTATTTATTTTTAACCTACGCAAATGTCAATTTTAAACAGTAACTTTGCCAGCGTAATATGCAAAAGCTAAACTGTGGTGTAAAAAACGCGCAAACTATATTATACGTAAGAAGCTTGACCAACATTACTTCTTTTAGCAATCTCCAAATTAACCTGCAGCTTTTCCTTTTGTAATTTTTAATTATTGTGACCCCATGTACTTTGCCGACCGAAAATGTTGTCATCATCTTAACAAATTTCCCTTTATTTTTTACGAGATCTTCGTTGACATTTGCATTTTTGTTTTCTACGCCTTATTACAAGTTATTTAATTCTTTTTAAAATTGTAGAAAAAAATACAGTAAAATTCTTGTATAACAAAAACCCCTTATAACAAACAACTTTTGGATCCCCAGCTATCGTTAGTGCATTTAAAACTCCTGTAATATCTATATCTACTAATTTTAGAATCCCCGAGCAATTTGTTATACAGAAGGTTTACTGTGTAGATTTATCTATCCTATAGACCAAAGAAAAGCCCTTTATATATAATAACATTACAACTGTTCATTTTTCTCATCTTTCTAACTAATAACCCACATCCATATACTATAAAAAACTAAATGAAGCTGACTAATAAAGCAATCTAGTACAAAGTACGGTGCAACCTAGACAGAAGTTTTACTTCCTTCTATATAGTACGTGTCATCTTTGAGATATTTCCCTACTTTTCCTAGTTTCTTACACGAACGTTTCTCTCATTAATTTTGCGGAACCTTAAGCCAGGGTCATCGCAGCACAAACGGATTAAGTTTGTTTTCGATTTTTCACCATGGCTTTCGACAGGCATATATTTTACTCCACATGGATATGAGAATATTGGGGATAAACATTACAGTGTAACGGGGCTTATCTTAGCCGAAAAAGTGTTGTCATAAGTCACTGGCGCCTTATTAAATCTGTTACTTCGTACTGTATATCGTACTACGTGCATTTTATCATTTCTTTTTGCTTTTGGGGCCTTTAAAGCGGTTTCTCACAATTTAGGTTTCTTTGTTAAAATTGTATCTTCACTGTTTACACTTTTAATTACTGCGTCTTGTGACAGTTGTTTAATGTTTCACTACCCAAAACTCCCTTTTGACGTGTATTATTTTTTCAACACAATAGTACTACATCAGTATCATCAAATTTTCTCGTAATAACTAATTACAAGGTCATTATCATACAATTTGGGGCTACTATACTCTATATTGTGTCAAATTTGGTCGCCCAAGTACAGTTTTAAAATCGATGCCAAAAACATAGTCATGCCAATTATGAAGCGCTTCTGTACGTCAATAAACTTCAATTTTACGCGGTTGTCACGATATTTTAATTTAATATCGTGCGCCAACTTTACTTCCTACTCAAAAAAACCAATTTTATTGCCATTTTGGGATTCGGATTTCTACTTGTTTAAATTTTTAATAGGTCTGGATTTCTGGGTATGAAATTCCGAATAAAAGAAGATGTTTCATTACCACAAAGTAATACCTATTAACTATTAAAATTTCAATTTTTTAGCTATGCTTTTCAAGGTGCATTTTCCAGTTACTCCAACTTTTTATGAACTTTTACCGCACCCTCCGCCGAGCATAAAATTTTTTCTTATGCTACCATTTTCAGAGTCAAAACACCGTCATAAAAGTATCTTTACTAGGTTTTTCAATTAATTATGTGTTCCCTTAAAATCAAATTTTCGAGGTTAGAGGGCACACAGTTATTTGAAAAACCTAATAATTTACTCAACAAACTTGTAACCCTTTATCAAAGAACACAAGAGCCTACATTCCCGAGCTTAATCCTTACATCACACTTAATTTTTTCGATTATTTACAGATAACCTCCGAATACTGTTTAATTTCGCGTGACTAATTTTACATTAATGGGGGCTCGCGTTCGGTTATAAACGTACTATACATTTGCAATAACAGCCGTTTTTGCTGGCTGGCTTTCGAGTTCTTTTCAAATTTAAAAATTTCATTTTTTTTATCTGTTCATTTTTCAAATTTTCGATATAAACCGCGCTTCTACAAACCTTTTGACTAAAACATCTTATAGCTATAGCCCTAATACTAAACTTTTCAGATCTCCAATGACATTATGATCTCGTGCAACACAAGCGAGCCATGGCGGCCGATGGGCCACGTGCTCGACCTGTACGTGTTACCGGTCGTTTGTGTGATCGGGCTCATGTTGAACATGGCCTGTTTGTTCGTTTTCACACGGAGGTAATATTGGCAAACTATTTTCAAAACTTTTTCCCCTATTTTTAGCCAATAGCCTTAGAACTAAGACTTTATAATTGGCCATACTAACCGGCCCTACCTAGGCTTACTACCTATAGGAAAACATTTCAATACCTTACTAACCTATAAGAAATCATTTCAGTACCTCACAAAACAAAACCAAGAACCTACCTTATCTTGTCTATTTTAGCACATGAACACTCAAATGTGTATGAGGAAACCAAACAACCGTTTCCGCTAACCAAATGTTAAAAAATAGGCAATTTGAAAATGAAAATGTTTTGAAAAATTTTTGAAAAAGTTCATTTTGATTACTTTACGCTAATTTTTCAATAACTTCTTGTACTAAAATAGACAAACTTCAACTCATAACAATTTTAATAAGCACTGTGGTTAAAAAGCTTTTAATTTTTAAACATAGCCTTAAAATTTTTATTTTAAATTTTACTTTTCAGACGTTCCCATCCCCTAGTACCAGCCCTAATAGTACTCAGCGTTTGCGACTCCCTTCAACTTCTAATATCCCTTTTCGTACTCTATCTACCAGCCCTACACGACCATTTAGAGATGGACATGTTCGGTACAGTCGGCCAGATTGCATACATTGCTACGGGCGCCTTAGCCGGTGGGCTTTTGGCTTCAAATTGTGCTTCAATTTGGACCATGTGCTATATTTCGATTCAACGCCATCGTGCCATCATATCCCCGCTGTCTACGGTGACGAATCGACGATCCGGCATTTGGGCATTGATTTGTATTGCCGTGGCGGCATTGTTGTTTAATGCACCAGTTTGGTTCGAGTTCTCATGGCATGTAGATGAGGTATTGACCGATGCCGGGGAGAAGCGATTGTTTTTGTTTCATACGCCTTCTGCGCTGGCGCAGAGTGTTACATATCGATTTGTGGTAAGTTTTTTATTTGTATCATCGTGTGTTCTACATTTCGCAACCAATTTAACGTCAAAGCTACGGTAGCCCAAATTAAACCAAACTTGTCATAGTGTTTTTCCAAAATTTCCAAAATCTGTTGCAAATGCACTTGTGTTTTTAGTTCAGTTTGAACCGTTTTGCACGATATTATGTTTATTATTGTAGCTTTATATTATTGTACCTGGGTTTCGACTGTAAACAATCATTACTGTCTTTTTCGATTCAAAACAAGTCCAATTATTGTTTACATTTGTGATTTTGAAGTTGTTTGTTCATGACAATTAGTGCTGCTACAAAATTTCCAGCGATTTATGGCTTTTGTATTTTACAGTAATTGGAATTGTTGTTTTACATTTTGTTTATCAAATTTTTTTCCAAATATTACAGTAGCTGACTAAGAAATAACGCAGATATTTTAAAATCAGTCTAAAAAATCTCAAATAAACCTAAATTTTAGCCTTTTTTATACCTAAACCAGCCTTAAGAGCTCATTCCAACTAGGTTTAATCATATTTCAACTAGTTTTCCCAGATCTAACCCCATTTTTCAAAATTTTCTTTCCATATCTAACACCATTTTTCAAAATCGTTTTCCCCTATTTAACGCCATTTTTCAGAATCGTCAAGTACTGTATCCAATCGCCGTCTACATTGGGCCGCTCGTACTCATCTCAGTACTAAATCTACGCATTTTGACCCACATTTTCTCCGCCAGCAAGACTATGGTTCAGTCTATCGGGTATCAAAGGCGGATGGAAAAAGAAAAGCGGGCGATTTGGCTACTGATTTCGATTGTTTTGTTCTTTTTCTTGTGTCATACTGGTAAGTATGGAGTGGGTTTTGAGGGGTGTTTTGTAGGGTTTTAAGGACTCTTTTAAAGAGTTTCAAAGGGTTTTTTTTTCTTTTTTTTGGAGTTTGAGGGGTGTTTTTGATTTGTTCTTGTTTAAATACTTCTTGGTTTTGTTTTGTATTGCCAATTTTTCTTTTAATTTCATCAACCATCTTTCACATTCGTATTTTACCTCAATTTATAACAAAATATTCTTTAGGCGGCCTAATAATTCGATTTGTGGATCATCGAAAGTATGGCGAAGAGCCGTGTTTCGTATTTGCCAAAGATTTTATCAACTTTTTGTTCAATATCAACTCGTTTGTTAACCCAATGGTAAGTTTAGTGTCCTCTATCATTAAACAAACAAACTTTTTGATAAAAATTGTTATCAGGCTTACAACGCCTGAGGTGTTAAATTGATTTTAAGGGTGTTTTAAGGTTATTACTTGGCTAAATTTGACAGTATTTTTTACTTTTTTAAATCTTAAGCCTATTATTTGGTATTTTAAGACAATTTTTTGGTACTTTAAGCCCTATTTTAGTATTTAAGCGTATTCTTAGGCATTTCAAGCCTATTTTTTAGTATTTTAAGCCCATTCATGCAATTTTAAAAACAGTTTCAAAACTCCAACCTACCTTTAAAAGACCACTTGTAAAAACGATGAGATCGTGTCGGGTGGGGGATACCTAAAACTTTATTCATTACTTAGTAACAATAACAAAAATAACAACAAAATATGGCACGAAATTACTCGGAATCGCCCTGAAATTGGCATCAACATCACGGGGATACAATAATACTGGCATTACTTGGTAAAAACATAAGTTGCATGAGTAGTACAGTACAAAATTTTTGAAACAAATAAAAATAAAAAATTTTCTTGAATTTAAAAAGACAAGTGACGTTAAAAGGCACTAGGGCTAGTGAAATATCTCGTATTTTACATTTCAAGTTATTTAACATTCAAAAAAAATCAAAAAGTTTAAAAATTCTTAAATTTTCTCCAAATTCCCCAAAAAACCTTCATTTTTCAAAAATCCACCCTCAACCCCTAAATTTACTAATTTCCCTTTCTAACCCATTCTAATTTCAGTTGTACTTCTTTTTCACGAAACAATTCAAGGATCTACGTGTAAGCTTTACGTTTTTGAAGCGGGATAGTCCGTCCAGGTTGTTGCAGACCACCTGGTTGGAGAGTGGAAATCGCAACAATTCGATTACAAAACGACTGCTCAGCCGGCTTTCATCAAGATCAGTGATTTCGAGAAGTAAAAGCAGTACTTCGAATCAGATTTGAAGCCCATTGCCTTAGGGGTTTTGGAAGAAAATGGCATGGAAAAGATGAAAAATGGCTAGAAATGGCGAAAAAATGGTGACTTTAAGGCCATTTATCGAACTTTAAAGCCTTGTAAAAAAACTACAATAACCCTACAGACTTCAAACAACTTTCTACAGAAACAGCAGACTCCAAAGAATGTTAGACAACAAAATATCAATCAAAAATCAACCAAAACCCAGTGAAAATCTTCAAAAACCGGCATTTTTATCCATTTTTCTCTAATTTTTTTTCATTTTTTCACCTTTCAAACCGATATAAAACCCAGAAACCTATTGTAACATAATTTCCAAATACTCATTGTACTCTAATTTTAATGCCAAAGCACCGCCTTAATGTAAAGTTCGTCAAAAACCCGTTATAACTTATTTGACTTCAGGGTATTCAAACAATAATTTTCTTGTTCTAACATACCAAAAATCTCTCAGCATTTCCTATTCTAATGTGTTTTACTTTACTTGTAATAAATGATTATAAAAATTATCCGGAAAACCTATATTTCCTCCTAGCCGACTTAAATTTAAATTTTCTACCAAAATCGGCTAAAAGTGATCCAAAATCGACCAAAAACGCTCAAAAAATCCATGCCAAACCTAATATAACCCTAAATTTTAAACCCTATCAGACCGCCTATTCAATTCTACACAATATAGTTGCTGTTGGTTTACTATACTATTGCCGATCAGCACGAAATGTGCTCGGCTTTCGTCTTCGTTCAACTTCATCTTCAACTGAACTGGTAGTGGGGGCTGTAAAAACAAACATATATACGAAAAATAGCTTAAAAATATCATAAAATCAAAAAATTGCTAAAAAAAACCTTTCTTAATGATCGCTTTCCTGTTTTTATCTTCGAATCGAAAGTTTCAATCCAAAAGTAACACTTGACCCAAAACAAAATTTTGTCGAGTCAAGTGTTCCTCTCATGACAAAAATCTGTCTAATGCAATAAAAAACTGTAAAAACAAAAAAGTTTACAAAAAACTAAAAATTATTGAAGTAAGTTTTAGTATCATTTTCAAGTAAAAATAAATTTAAAAAAAAAATTAACTTACAGCCTGTTGGATTTTCTCTCTATCGTACCCAATGACTCTTGTAACTATGAACCTCTCAAACTCTTTCTCAGCCTTTTCATTCCCTATATTGTGCAATATGGTTTTGGTTAAACCGAAGCGATCATTCGACATAACATAACATTGATTGTTGATCAACAGCGCTGCCATTATGGCAAAAGTGTCGTCGTCGGAGCTGAAAGCATTTTTTATTAGTTTTTCGTTTTATCACACTATTTTAATCATAAAAGTCTAATAAAAGCATGAAAAATCCAAAAATATTATGTTAACCTACTCCCTTGCCACCTCGACCACCCTAAGGCCATATCCTCGTAATCTTGGTGTATAATCAGCCAGAACATTCTTCCTCATCATTAACACAACCTCTTCATACTCATCCTTCAATTTCATCAAAAAACCAACAACTCCAGGTCGATTTGACGTGTAAAGTCCGCTCAAAATGTTGAGAACATCTACTACAATACATTTCTTGGTCGGCCTGAAAGATAAAACCTGTATATCGTATTATTTTCTGTATTTTACATCCAACGCATACCTAAAAGCAAAAATAAATTAAAATCAACTTACATTTGTCCTTTGTAGTCTTTTTGTATAGCTTTTATCAATCCCAACAATCTATTGAAATCCTTAATGTTACCAACACGATTTTGTTCGACAGCCTTTTGTAGATGATTATATAATGTATTCTTTAGCTCAGTGAATCCATCTTCTGTTCTTTTCAATGTAGGCAACGTCTTTTTACACACGCCACAAACATCACCTGTTACTTTAGAGATTCGGACTTTTGCTCTAGCTGAGCTAAAACAATATAAGTTATAAAAGTGTAAAAACAACCAAATATCTATAAAAAACTAGCATATATAGAAGCTTTAGAGCCTTTTCTACCTTTTAATAAGAAATGATATCAAAAACATACTCAACAGCTTGACGTATAGCACTATAATCCTCCATGAGCACATTAGAAACCTCAAATTGTTTTAAAAACGGCACGAGCCACGGAACTCCACCAACTTCCAGACGTTGTTTATATTGTGAAAATAAGTGAGAATCTTCGTAGAGACATAATTTATCCATTTTAAAGTGATCTAATACCTAAAAGTCGAACAAAATATGAAAAGAATGTTATTCATACCTGTTTGAAGCCTTCCAAGTCATTACTTCGTATTTTTTGAACAACCAAAGCGTTAAAACAAATTCTTTTTAACATTCCATATTCTCCAAAGCCTTTTACATCTTCTCCCATCAATATATTGTAAAGGCATTGGCTGGACGAAGCAAACAGACCAGTTTTAGATATTAACTCCTCTAAAGTTCGATATACCTCCAAATCCCTAGATGAAGGTGGTTTTTCCATGTATGCTTGTCCTAACAACTTTAATATCATAGGAACATCAGAAGATTTCACAAGCTTTCTTTGTATTAGATACGACACGGTTGAATAGATTTTGTCAGCTGAAGAAGTCTTCTCTATCATAAACAATATCGCCTTGACTTCTGAAGGTCGAGCAGTGTCGAATTGTTGATGAAGCTCTTCATAATCTCGTCGAGAATTGTCTGGCCAATTATTAAAATACAATCTCATAGAAGTTGTTGATGTTTTTGAGATTGGAAACTGAAATTACTTTCAAAAGCTATATTACCTTTGATTGGTTAATGAAGTCTTGAAAAACATATTTTTCTTGCCTTTTTTTACTTGAGATGTTAATGAAAACCAAGAACTCTCTATTGTCAAGCTTTTAAATCCATTTTCCGACATATATTATCAATATAAACATTCTAAACATCGAATACAAATAACAACATACCTGTTTTGGCTCCAAATTCGTGCTGCTTGCTTTCAACGCTGTAGTTCGTAGCAACTGACGTGCTTGCAACAATCTTACCAGCTTTATCATGAGGATCAATACTAATTCCGATAGATAAAGAGCCGAAAGCGAACGAATCCTTTAGCTTGTATATTCGAATGAAAAAATTTCTGGATAGGAAATAAAGCGGAAAAAGACTTGACCCACAAATCGGAATGCGGGCCAGGTGTTGCTCGTTGATTTCTGGAACGGCACCGAATGGCGCCAACTGTCAATCATCGTTCGTAACATGGATTTTAATAGATTAGTTGCTTTGGAAATTGTTGCAATGACAACAATTATGCTTTTATACGTTTTGAAATGGCAAATCTTTGGTTTTTAGCGAAAAAACCGTATTATATTAGACTTTGAAGGCTTGGAATCAATGTAAAATGGTGTTTTAGGTAACAAGTCACTATTTATTGGCTTGAATATATCCTTAAATTTTTGTTTAATGTTTTTAAACAGCCATTAATTATTATTGCATAAAATATTATACAACTCAAAATGGCAAAATATTCATCTTTTAATCCTCTATACGCCTATACCTCCAACTTTGATCAATAACTCCATTCAAACTATTTCATTTTTGTTTATTTCATACAAGACGGTAAAAAAATCCCGTAAGACTATATAGGTAATACAATTTGTGTTTATCTATTCATATTTTTTGAGTTATAATCAAAATTGGTTGATTTACAATACCTAGATATTGTGTATAATATAAGTGGTCAAAGAGTGGATAGAACTGTGTGATTTGACCTTGGTTAGGTGTAGGATGTGACAGAGTATATATATGACATATTTATGATAAAAACCGGTGGGGGTTTGGGTTGAAATTGGGGGTTTTTGTTCAAAAACTGCCATTTTAAACCTCATACAATCTTTTCAAAATCAAAAAAAAAGTCATTTTAAAATCAAGCTCTTCAATTTCAACTCAAACCTCATCAAATATGTATATTAGTTTTCGACGTGTCCTTCCTTGTCATGTTTGTAGTAGTGTTCATGTCCAGTGTAGGGATGGTTCACAGCCACATTCATGGTCGAAGTGGCGATCAAATACAAAATGGCGATCAAGATTAATAAGATGACAACATTCACAATCATGATGACGGTGTTTTTGTCGAAATGGGCTTCGGCCGCTTCGACCAGCGACTGTTTTCGGCTGCCCGAGCTGGAGCGGACCTGACCTGTTGGGGTCACAGAGGAGCGTCGTCGCATGTGCATTTTGGGTTGTACGGTTGAGGTGAAGGGGAAAATAGGACTCTGAAAGAATGGTTTTTAGTTGAGAATTGTGAAGTTTTAGAAAAGTTGGGCATATCATGCTAAAAATGGCAGGAAATGAAAGTTTAAGGCCAAACACGGGGGTTTTTAAGAAACGAGTTAAATTTTAAAAAACTTTTTTCAATTTGAAAAATAGTATTTTTTGTAAAATACGTCATTTCGAACATAGAGCTTAAAAAAGCTTTGAATGAATTTTTAAAAATTGGCATGGGTTTTATTTTTTTGGCCAAGGACACCTATTTTAGGTGATATCCGATATGAAACACGCAAATTTCACTTTAAAATTTAAAAAAAAAATTTTGAAAAAAAATTTTAAAATCATTGAAAAAACTATAAAATACGTCAATAAAACCCCAAAAATCCAGAAAATTTTAAATTTTGTACGAAAACCTGTCGTTTTATAAACTTTTCAACTACGTTATTAAAATGACAGTATGAAGAAGAAAACTTTTACGGCATTATATATCTGTACTTTTCACTTTGAAAAAAACTCGAAAATAAGACAAAAATTAGCTTCCGACTAGTGAAAAAAATGAAAAACATATTGAAAAACAAAGATGAAGCAGCTGACAAAAGTAATTCCTTGATTATAACGAATACATATATATATCAGGGACGTCACTAGTTTAGGGTAGGATAGGGTAGGGTAGGTCTCTACTAGTGTTACCTAAGCGTTTGATATAACTAGATAGCCTCAGAGAAATTGCAAGAAACCGTGTTGCGCAACTTTTTCTTATGTAATATTATGGTTTTATATAACATTTTATGTAAAACGACCCAACAAATTACTGCGAGTACGGCAATCTTACTCTATTTTACTGTAAGGTAACGTTTTTTACCTGCTGCAAAGTTTTTGGTAATAACTAAAGCCTACTAAGCCTAAGCCTACTAAGCTTAAGCCTACTAAGCCTAAGCCTACTAAGCGTAAGCCTACTAAGCCTAAGCCTACTAAGCCTAAGCCTACTAAGCCTAAGCCTAAGCCTACTAAGCCTAAGCCTACTAAGCCTAAGCCTACTAAGCCTAAGCCTACTAAGCCTAAGCCTACTAAGCCTAAGCCTACTAAGCCTAAGCCTACTAAGCCTAAGCCTACTAAGCCCAAGCCTACTAAGTCTTGGCTTACTGTTTAGCTTTAATAAGCTTTAATTCTACACCTACCAATCTTAAACCGAAGCCTTACTCTAAAAAATCTTACGTTTAAAACTCCAAAGCCCTAAGCCTACCAAAGCCGGCCTCATTAAGACGCAAATGTAGGAGAACTTATGCATAACGAACTCTTCTACAAAGAAAAAGTTTCAAATCCCCGAGCAGTCCCTTAAACAGGAGTTCCACTGTATATTATAAAGCAACTACATATGATTTTACCTATTATCACCCTAGTCCTCTGTTATCTATTGTTAAAGAGACTGAACACAAATCCTTGCCGTAAAACGTGACATAAACAAAACAAACGGCAAAACGGAACGAATGTGAGTGATGTTCGGTGAGGATGAGAGAACGATGCAATCAGAGACATACACCTGATTTCAGGTGATAATAACATTTTTTTGGGAAAAGTTCAACTGGATTTAAAAATATAGTGAAAAATGGACCTTTTAACCTAACATTGGATTTTGGCCTAAAACTTAACTTTTTATCTTAAAATTGAACATTTAAGCCTAAAAATGCATTTTTGAATTTTGAATTTGATTTTAGCTTCAAAACTTCATTTTTGAGCCTAAATAGTGATTTCAAATCAAAGGTTTGACTATAAGCCTAAAAAATTGGTTTTAAGCCTAAAAGTTCATTTTTAAACCTAAAAATGCATTTGCAAGCCTAAAGCTTCATGTTTAAGCCTAAAAATGAGTTTTAAACCTATAAATTGTTTTCTAAGTCTTAAAACTTCATTTTAAACCTAAATTTTGGTTTTTAAGCCTACAGTGCGATTTTTATATCTAAAAGTTCATTTTTAAGCCTAACCTTAATTTTGAAGCCTAAAAGTTCATATTCATGCCCAAAATATTTTTTTTAAGTTTAAAGGCTGATTTTAAGCTAAAATTTTAACTCTAAGCCTAAAACTTCATTTTTAAGCCTAAAAGTTAATTTGTAAGCCTAAAATCTGCCTTTAAATTTGAAAATTAAGCTGTAAGCCTAAATTTTTATTTTAAGCTTAAAGTTGATTTTTTAAGCCTAAACACTTCACTCTTCAGTGTTAAATCCAATTTTTAAGCCTAAAATGTAGTTTTCACCCAAAGATAAATTTTAAAAAAGTACTAAATGAGTACCAAGAATAACAATTTTTAACCATCCAAAAATATTCACTTGTTTATCACGGTCCGCTTAAAATCACAACAACATATATATATGTGTATATAACGCCGATGACAGCCGTTTCGAATACGATGTCAAGTGGGGACGTGAGAAAGGAACGGCACATTTCAACAGACAAACAGGTGAGATCTTTAACCCATCACAAATATTTTTGGCCAACGTAATAAAAAAGTAATCATTGCCAGGAGGTTCGAATTGCAAAAAACATGTGCCAAAAGTGATTGTTAAGAACAATAAATTGCCGGAACTTTCTTTACAAAGCAAAAACTGGCAAGAACTTTCTTTACAAAAGAAAAAATGGCAAAAACTTTCTTTACAAAACAAAAAATGGCAACAGTTTCCTTTACAAATTTAAAAAACGTCTAAAAACACGTTTTTGACGTTTTTTAAAAGTGGATGTTTGATGGAAGATTTTTAGTGCAAAATACATTGCAAATCTTCCACTTAACTTCCAATTTTTAAAAGCATGCAAATACTTTGTTTACAAATAAAAAATTTTGAAATAGTGTTTATGGCTTTTGTAAATTTCGAAAAATCAGTTTTTAGTACAAAATAAATCCTATACCTTTATTTATGAATCAGCGAATTGCAAGAACTTACGTTACAAATCAAAAAATAGAAAAAAAATTCTTTTCAGCATCACTTTTCCAATTAAAAACACAAATCATCCTATAAAAATGATAAAAATCAATGTGCAGCCACGGCGGGAGACGCATCTGGCATGATCTGATCATAGACACGTACTATATAGTCTGCTTTGGTTCGCTCTGCCTTCAACCGTACAAACAATCACCGGAATCGCTCTTCCAGCCCTATCAGAAATGGCGAGGCTCGAACCCATGAGCTTTCGAATCAAAAGTAAACGCACTCGCAATGAGCTAATAAAACACGTGCGTTAAGACTGTTCTTTTTGGCTCGGGAGGAGGGGGAAAAGGGTCGGACAATTGGAAATACAAAAAAGTAATGTTTTTTGAGTGAATTTATAAACCTAAAAATCATTTTTATGATTAAAAGTCATTTTCATTCTTAAAATTAATTTTTAGGCAAAAAAATTTAATTTTTAAGCCCCGGATCGACGTTGCACCCGAAAAATTGGATTTTTAAGCCTAATGTTTGTTCTTAAGTTTATAAGTATATTTTTGGCCCTGACTAAGCGTAACAACTCATTTGTAAGTCTAAGAAATTAAGTTTAAGTTTAAACTCTTTTTTAAGCCTTACTGTCATTTAAAATTCTAACATCTCAGTTTTTAAGCCTAAAAGACCTTTTAAAATCTAAAACGTTCTTCTTAAGCTTAAAATATTCTTTTTAAGTCTAAAATATCTTTTTAAGCTTAAAAGCTCCTTTTTAAGCCAAAAAAATAATTTTTGAGCCTAAGATCTTTACAAACCTTAAAGGTGATTTTCAAGCCTAAAAAGTCATTTTTAAGTATAAATAAGCTTTTTTAATTTAATACTATTATATGTAAGCCTAACAATTAATTTTTAAGCTCAAAAGTTTTTTATTTCTTTCCTTATCATTTCTTCGTCGCTATGTTTTGCAAACCCTGAAAATTTAAATAAATTTTGCAAATCTTGACCTTTGACACAAATCTATCATCATCCTATCGAGTACCGAGAATAGTTTGCGGAAATTGAGTTGAAAATGCCATCAAACGCATCTGTCGCCGTGTTTAATTTGCCGTCGGGAGGCTTCTGTTTCAGTTGGGAGGCCGTGGTCGTTTCCGTCGAATTCATCAACTTCACATCCGACTTGTGTTTTCGTCGCCTTCGGATGGCCCTCCGGGTATGTGTGTATGTTTTTTTTTGTGTTCCCGACGATTTTTCGCGTAACGAGATTTTTGAACGTACTGCAAAAGTCGGTGGTCTTAAGTGGCAACGGAGGGATGAAAGGTCACGTGGGAATGAATTGAACGAATTTAAAGTGGGCATCAGGTTATATCGTCGTCTAAACAAGGCCATTGAGTTGTTTAGACGGCGTTAAATTTGATTTTTGGGTGGTTTAGCCACGTTTTGTCATCACATGTTATTAGACTTACAAGGAAAGTACCCTACCTGCCCCGCTCAGAATCAGCTCAAAATTTTTAAAGGAATTCTTTGTACCACCAATAATACCCATAAAAAATTTTAGCTCGCGCTTTCGAGTTTTAAATTTAAATAATTTTGGTTTCCCGCCAATTTGGCAAATTTGGCATTGTGTTTTAAGCACTTTTTTCGGCTTTCCAGACAAGGTACACTTTCAAATTTAAAAATGTAGGTTCATTTAAAGGTATTTTACTAGTATATCAAAATAAAATAATTAAACGTCAAAAAATGACAAAGTTACAAGCTTGAAACACAATGCCAAGTTGGCGGGAAATTTAAAATGTCATTTTTTGATCTTAATTTTCTCGAGATTTCCTGGAAAGCGCGGTTTAGTACTTTGCTGAAGATCTTATATTTACATGATCTTTCTATTTAAAAAGTTTCAAGTCAATCAGAGTGGGGCAGGTCGGGCACTTTCCTTGTTAGCCTTAGTTTTATTCTTAGCCTCAGCTTTAGCCCTAGCACAAGATTTTGAAATTAACAGGCAAACTTAAAAATTTTAGATTTAGTTTAGAAACTTTTAATTTATACATAGAATTTTAAAAAGAATAAAG